CGTGATAATGGATATAGCACGTTAAATTACGTTAGTCGGGATTTTCCGCGGCGCGGGACCAAACGAATCTGATGAATCGACACGAACTTTTTTCTTGCTCTCTTCTGCGTTTCGTCGCTCGTCTCACGGTAACGATCGTATGAATATGGAGGCTTGCCGTTTATGCAGGGTATAACGACGGCGAACGACGTTAAAAGGAATACGCGCGGAATCTCGTTAAAGCGACGTCGAAAAATATAAAACACGGGCTGGGAAAGCGGTTGGTGGGGCGCGAAATAAAATCGACAGTACCGTGAACGAATTTCGTGTCCGCGCGGTAAATGATGGCGAACCGTAAGGGCGGTCGATCTTCAATAATGGAGCCACGATGAAAACAATGAACAACGGCCCCGGGGATGCTTGCGGCAAATAATTTACGAGGTCGATAAAGACGAGATTGAGTACGCGGCAACTTTTTTCCAGGTACGCAGTTAGTTGAAATATCGGCTAATAATCTCTATACTCGTGCTACGAAATAGTTTTAAAACTAGTTACAATTTAATCAAAGTCTTAAGAGTACGCATTAATGTTCAAGCAAAACGGTCTCACGGTTATAAAACGTTCTTAAAGAAAACGTACAAACATCTGTTTAAACTATAATAATTGTCGAAGACGAAAAATCGTGTTATAAATCTTTTTACATGACAAGAAATGCGGAATTGAGCTACGGTAGATTTTTGGGGCCGAATAGCAGCATAATAAATTCACTAACGCATTTTTAAGTGGAACTCACAGGTTCTTCGAAGGCTTCTTCCAGTGACAAATAACGAAACTGCGATTCCTTTTTACTGCAACGTATTTAAATAGTACTTGTGAGTCTGTGGGATGGATGGAATCGTTAGTAGAAAGTAATGCCGATGCAGTTCAGCAGAGCCTGTCTTCAAACGTTTATTTAATCACACGCAATGTTTTGGCTTTACGAAGACAACAGAATAAAAATTCTACCGTCCTCTAAATCTTCTTGTTAAACCAAGCAACAAGAAACGTTGCCAAAGCACGGGAACAATTATGCCGACAACGGTAACGCGAACCGACCTCCATCGGAGTCATAAATTCGCGGGAAAATATCGGATACCTTTGCAGGAAGTAGTGAATTTCGTGCGCATCCCTCCGCTATTAAACATCTCGTTGGAATTTCCCACGCTGGAACGTCGAGACGCGGCGTGAATCGCAGCGATTTTTCGTTGCGAAAAATTTCGTTCCCGGGCGCGGCGTCAGTTATTTCGCGCTCGGGGGAAAGAACGAAAGCCGATTACGATACGAAGGAACCGATAACAGCCATTTGGCGCGCTGAGGGACCGCGTGAAATACGTAACAACGCGCGGAATCACCGTGTTTACATGAATTTATCCGCGACCGTGCAGCGAATCCCGGCCCGGTTTTATGTTTAAGCGCGATATCGTGACTGCTAAATGTAAAATCCGGTTGCAACGTTTCATCCGGCATTCCTCGCACGCTCACCGCCCGTCTGAATTTCCATTGATTTTCCTGCTAAGAGCCTGGACTCGCACCGTTCAGCCAGCAGCGACATTTTTGATTTATACCGTCTTTCGCCGACATCCGACGAATCGTCGCCAGCCGTGACATTAATTATTAATGGGGCCTCGCCGCGGGCTAACGTATCCGCTACGCGATTGGCAAGTTCGGTTTCGTGTGCTGGGACAATATTTAACGTGAACGCGATAAAAAAGCGGAGGGGAAATATGAAAGTAACGCACGTTACACGCCGGTCGCAGTATTTCCACGTCACGCGGCGTTGATTCGCGAACGTACGTATGAAATGGACGAGGCAGTTGTTCTAATATGTTTCTCGTCCGGGTTTGGAAGAGTTCCAGTAACCCTGGAATGTTTCCAGTGGTTTTAATTCATTTGCCAGTTACACACATTCGCTGTCTTACGAGGAGGAACAAACACTCGTAATGATTACGTACATATTTTCGGCATAGTGTTAAGGAAATGGACGATTCTATGCAAATATTACGTTTTATGTATTCGGTATCTTTTACAATGTACACTAAAATAGAGTTTATGAAAGTTTCTGTTGTAAGAAAGTTTCAACAAATAATAGTTGAGGAGTTTATTCCAAAACCTTGTGGACATAAAAGAGAGCAAATAAGATAGCGAGACCTTGAACCTCTTATTCCCCCAAAAGAATCAGAGCTGGTTCGCGTTATTCAGAGTAACAAGCTTCCTAGACAACGATCATGTACGATAGAAGGGAACGAAATCGCGAGGGGATGCTGAGTGGAACGGGGAAAATGAAATCGGGGGATACCAACGGACCAGACGATTCACGCATGGCCCGCAAAAAACTATCCTTTGCATTCCTTGTCGCGATTCAATTCAGACACAGACAAACGTTCGATCCCGTTCGCACGGGTTTGTCCAAGAAGATTGGATAGTATTGAACCGTGGACCTTGCGATTGAAGGACCGACGAGCCCTTCCCGGCGCAATGAAGAACTGACTGGAGGATATATAAAATGGTGTACCGAATCACTTACTTGGTATTGAATTGCTACGCGCCTCTTTCCGGTCATCCGGCGAACGAAACGCGATCGACGGAGAGGAAGTCGGATAAATTATTGATTCGGACTACTTCCCGAGGCTTGAATACCGGATGAAACACGAATTTGATCGAACCGACCAAACGAAACGCGGCTGCTCGTTCATCGTTAAATATACTTCTTTCCTTTCGCTGCCCGACAGGATCGTTTAAAGTTGAAACGTTGTATAAATCCTTCAGCAGTAGAATCTCATTAATAAGTTATCATTTAGTAACGGAATGAGCATTAGGAAATATTGAAATTCAGTGGCAAAGAGTTAATGCATTTTATTTCGAACGAAATTGGTGTTTCGCAATCGAGTTTCCCTTGAAATCATGCAGAAAAACGAATTCAATAAATCTAAAACTTCAAAAATGCCCAGTGACTTATGGACGTGGGTGTAAATCACGAATTCACGAGATATCTCTCTTGCATCCACGATTTTTGCCTGTTGGTTTTCGCGTCGAAAAATTTCGAATGGCCAACAGTTGAAAAAGTGTCGCAGAAAGGTCTCTGGCAATGTATATCGCTGACACGCGCGATGTCATTTGCCATTGACACCTTCGGATTCATTTTATTCCATTTCAATTGAATGAATAGGAACTCTCACGAATCGGGTTTATTGCATTTGATATCACGTGGCAATGACTATGGCAATATTTTTTATTTATTAACTCCTTTTCCTTCCTTTATACTACTTTGAACGTGAAATTTCACGTGGTACCCAAGGACGGATTTTAAAATGTCAACAACTGTCATAAATCTATTTTACACTAAAAAATTGTTCTCCTTTTCTTCGTCAAAATCTGTAGATTTTTACGGAACTCAACTGAATCAAGTTTGATCGCACATACCTCGGTTAATAAAGCATGTTATTGAACAAAAATCCTCGATGAAACCGGATGTAAAGGTAGAGTGATTGAAAAATATAAAGCCGTGTAGAATCATGGTTCTCGTATCGGATAGCACGGCAGAATAATATGTTACCTTCATAAAAAGCAGGCGCAAATGCAATTGAACCGATTGGACTGACGAAAGATCAACAGAAATCCGTCGAATACTCGGGGAGGACAGAGAAGAATTGGACCAGCTGAGAGATTGACGAATAGAGGAAACTAGCTAGAAAAGAAAATGAGCTCGTCAGCGGAATCGATGAAATTAATTTCTTTCTCTGATTTGGTTCCGAATCATAAGACGATCCGTGAACGAGGTTGATCGAATCGTATAAGAGATTCAGGCTGAAGCACGGCGCTTTGCATTCTTTCCCGTTTTAATTTAATCACGGATTGAAGGTCTACACTCTGTATTATACATCGGAGGGATCCTCCTCCGGTAAAATTGAATTTTATTCAGCTCATTCTTCATGCTAATCAAGGACCAGAAAACCGACTCCTTAATACTCGACATTTTGCGTCTGTCATCCACGATCGTATCATATTGCTTCGTTGAAACCAATCAGTTACATTTCGGATAATCGACAGTGTGTAAAGAACGGAAATCTGATAGAACTGATGAAGGGTGCTGAGTTTTAAATATTAATAATCTCGACGCATCGGATAAAATTTGCACATTTTTTTTAAATTTAAATAGCTACGTGTTTATCACTCAGTACTTAATATTTTCACCAATACTATGTACCCGATAAGCATCCATTTAATTAACCCCGAGAACTTTTAATATAACAAAAGGACCTTTCACGGTTTGAATTACACTACTGATATCAAGAGAATTTTATCGTAAAACATGAAAGGCTCTCACGTGAATTCAATATCGGGAACCAGGATGTTTGTTGCTTCTGCTCAGCAATGTGGGCAGAGAGGGAAATATGGGAAAAATGTGAATTACATTGACGGTTATCGCTGAAACGCGCGCAATATTTACTGTATCTTTGGTTAGCACGATTATTTTCCCTTTTCTCTTCTATTCGTTCCGCTGGTACCGAAATCAATAAAATAACCGGGTTAATAAGGGACAGAGCATTGGAAGTAAGATATCCTCGGAACTATTCGTGCCAGTCACGATCCTTACGCTTCTCGCGGTTATATTTCGCAGGATGATCCTCGCCTGTGCAATTGATCATAGAAAATACGTCCTATGAATTCTTATCCGAATGAATTAAAAATTTCCATTCAATTGGGATTATTTATATTTAGCAGCATAAATTAGATTTATCAACATTCATCAAACAATAATGGATATTATTTGGTTCATCAATTTTCTAGTTCACACGAAATGAGATCATTTTATTTAGGATCGTATAAGCGTCCAATTATTAATGGGAATATAATGAAGCTTATTTGGTGAAATTATTTCCGAATTTCGGAGCCTTTGTTCAAGGTAACTAGTTCCCGGAACGTAATAAATCATTTTGTCTGGATCGCGGAACCATCAGACAGTGACTTATCGTTTCACTTACCGAATATAGGATTCCCACGGTGCGTTGCTAGACCACCAAGAGTGAGTACGTGCGAGTGATCCGCCGTCACGACGAGCAGCGTCTCTGACAAGTCGACTTCCTTCATCACGGCCCTCACTGCTTCCTCCAGCGCTAGGGTCTCGTCCAATGCTCGATAGGCATTGTTGTAGTGATGTGCGTGGTCGATTCTGCCACCTGGGAATGGACAAATTGACCGGTCGAATTAAATCAGGCATTAACCGACGCACGGAGGAAATTGCAATCGACTGAAATGATTAATTTCACCGCGACGAGTGACAGCGAGATGTATCAAATTATTGACACTTAAGCGTTATATCGATAAAAAGCACACGGGACGTTTGATAGTGATTTGAAAATTACGGAAAAAATGTTTAATATGAAAATAATATATTTGAGAGAAAATAATTGATAAATATTCTATAACTACTCTACGAATGCCAACCAATATGAAAAGTTTCCTTTCGAAACGACTTCGGATTGGGTAAAGGTTCAACCATATGGCACGAAGTACTTGAAAGTGCCATGTAACAAAACTGACCAAACTGTTCAGTTGAAAATCAATTTTGGATACACTTAGAGAAACCGTCGCCGAGAATAACTTCAAAACTAATATTGTCATGTTAGGAAAGCTACCCAGAAATTTCATTACAACTTCAATATTTTTTTTCCAAACATGTATGAAACAAGTTTTCATCTTTTTAGAAGCAATAAGTTATGAAGGAAAATAAAGAGTCAGTTATACAACGTTGACAAAGGTATCTGTTTCGCCTCGGATTTATCAATCGCGATTAATTCTGAGCTAGCTTTCGTCCCTTTGTTTTTACGAGAACGTCAAGAATCGGGGAAAGAAACCGCGCCCTCGAATCTGTGATTCGAAGCAGGGGGCGGCCGCGTCATCAGCATTACCATCGAGCTCGCGTTTAGGAGAGCACACCGTTCCCCGTCGTAGTTAACGCTAATTATTCAGAACGATCCGCAAGAATCCCGGATTCAATTATCGGGCCGGCAAACGACGTTGTCTCCGGAATGGATTACCGAAAGTTCGACATAAAGTTCAACGGTGCGCCACTTAGGAGCGATCCGAAACTGGGATCAATATTACGTGGTATCTTGAACGCGTGCATGCGTATGGTGAGGGAGGAATAGGAGAAGGAAGGATGGAAATTGAGTCGAGAGCGTGGAATCGAATCGTACGGGTCGAAGCAATCGGGGATGAAACGAGACAGCCTGAATCTCGGCCTTAGGCATCAAGCTAAAAGGTTCAGTGGTATCGTTGGGCTCAGCTTAACGGCACCATGTGATTGGCTGCCAGTGATTCACTAGTGAACATTAATACGTCGGCTGTCAGTGTCAAGCCATTATCTGTCTTATCTTTCAGACAACATTTGTTAGAAATCTTTTTTAATACATTATTTTACTTAGTGCTTTTAATTGGTGCTAATTGGTTGTAACATTTCAAAACATGTTGATGTATTTTTAATTACTAAGGATAATGGTTATTAAAAAGATAATAGAAATGCCAAACGTAGTTTCATTTAGCATTTCTGTGAAGCATTGTTATGTTTATGAATTATTATCCGGCGTATATGTCTAATTCGTTAACCCATGTATAATAACAGAATTACAGAATTGCAATACCATTATTTGGTCTGCGTAGTATGCAATGTGTGATTCAGCTTCTCTTCACGTTGCGTTGCTTTAAATAATTAGAGAATCCAAATTAATTAATGGTATGGGATTTCGAAAGTTACATTAATTCACGAAGAGACGTGACCACATCACAGTAATTAAAAACAATTGTTTTAATTGTTGTTTAATAATGTTAAAAACGTGTAATCAAAGCTTTTCATCGTAACTAATAATAAAAATTCATGTAAAACAAAAAGTAATTAGTGACTTCATTAAAATGCTCTTTCGGAGAGTGAATACGAATTTATTTAAAATCGTTTATTGTAACAGAATGTCGATGCACTGAAACCTTTGCCGTGAAATAAAATACGAACGATGCAAAGAATGGACCCGCCGAATGGAATGATATTTTCACACGAACATTTTCACAAATGTGCAATCGTCCATCTAAAATGTTCCACATTATTTTAAACGATTGCTTTTCCTGAGATTAAAAAATTAGAAACACGATTAAATTGATGATTTTAAGGCGCAAACACTCTACCAGATGGATCAGAGGAGCAAAACATTTTTCTTGTATCTCAGAACATAAGAAACAATCAAGAGAACTTTCTGGTATCGTAAAAGTATAAAAAAACTGTATTATTCCAACGAGCACAAAAATGTGAATTCACAGACTGAATATAAATCACGGTGCCTAATATCCGTATAAAATAAATCAATCTGCATTATTTTTTAGTACGCTTCGTTCGCAATTTCCGTGCAACAAAATATTCGAAATTTCTGCTCAAAACCTAGAAAGAAAATTTCCTGGTTTTTCCGTGCTCGACCACGCATAACACACATAAACACGCGAAATCAAGATTAATCACATAAAACTGGTCAGAGGTGACCAGGCGCACGAAATCATTACTTTTTTTGAGCGCTCCCCTCTAATTCCTATGCTCGCGATTTTTCATCCACCGGATTTTTCCTCTCGGTACTTCTAAACATGTTGACGGAAGTGGCCACTCGACGTGACAGGAGCAACGATAAGATATCCCGTGGGTTGGCAGAGGAAGAAGAAGCATCCTGGACCGGGTTTTTTCCCCCCTTTTTTTCTTTTTTGCACCGCACTGAACTCTTGAACACCGTTCGCCCCAGATGGCACGGTTCTACCAGAGATGCTTATTTTTATTCGGCGTAAAATTAGACAAATTCTCAGCGAGAGAAAGCTAGATATCCTGCGTTCTCCTCGTCTGTACGAATTTTCAGTAGACCCCGTTCTAATTGCGAAATGCGAGTGTACCTCTCAAGCTTTTCATAGAAATGATATTTTAAAATACCCAGTGTATACGAAAAAAATGTTGAACCTTTATAGAATACGTCTCTGATGGACAAATTTTAAATAACTAATTTTTAGATAAACAATTCTAAATGTTAATATGCAGTCTCTATTGACATAAACGAAAATTTTTAATATGTAATTTAGAGCCTAATCAAAAGTATTGATATAAGTTCACGAGAGTTCACTCGTCTTCCAATCGCTGCTCAAAGAAAAATGATAAAATTAATAGAAGCTAAATATCACAGAACTCGAACTTATAGAACGCGTTAAAAGTAGAGCAAACTGAAAACTGATCGAATCAATGGCCTAAATCTCGAGAATGTGGGACAAAAGGGGCTGGGGTTGTTCAATCTTCTAGATACTAGTATAATATCGTGCCAAAATCAGCAACTGAAGGGGCGCGTTTTCCAGCTGCCGCGAGAGAGCAACAGTTGTTGCAAGGAACTTTAAATCCGGATTTTAACCCTTGATTACAAGCCGTCTCAGTCGACAAGCAAAGTTCTGAACAAGTGTATGTAAGTCGATGGCATTATGGTATCGCCTGATAATAGAAAGACACGTACTTATCAGTCGCTGCTTATCTATATGATTTTGAATTAAAGATTCTGTCAATGTGAGCCTAAGTGTAATGTTAAGTACTCGATATTACTCATTGATGAAAAATGTCTTTTATTATCATATAATGAAACGAACAAAAAATTAGCAAAGTGTAATATTATGATTGATTTATGATTGTTGATTGGTACTTGGGAAATTTTGAGGAAACGTAAAAAGGCTTTAGAGATGAGCTTGAATACGCGAATAACGATATTATTAGATGTATTAGTCAGGATAGTTCAAAGGCAAATAGTAATCAATTTTGGTCATAATTTAATTCTGTGAGAGTTGGTAGTATAAAGGATCAAATAGATGCTTTGATCGAAGGTCTATTGTGCAATATAGTGAATTGGAGAGTATCAGTAAGAAATTGTAGATCAATTATTATGTTCGTACTATGTTCGATTAAAGCTGGCCTCTAAATTAAATAAATATAGTCATTAAAAATTGTAAACAATAATGAATGCCATGAATATTGTCCATGATACGATGACTAAATTGTTCGTAGTTTCGTGCCGCATCGTGGCGCGAGAAATAAAACCAGCATAGGACGTGATTTTATCTGGTGAAATCGGTTGAATTCACAAAAAGAAATTAATCGACGTTCTTGTGTCCTCAAAGGCCGATAGGCTCGCAATTGACAAAAATCGCAATTTCGAATTCAACCGAAATACCACGAACTTTTATTTTCAGTTCATCACATTTGTTTCATATAACATATCCTTTGTATAATAATTTCCTTCTAGTTCGTAGGCTCGTTAATTTTACATTTTTATATATCTTTGTTCTCTTCAGTTTGGCGTTGGATTAAATTTTTTGATAAAAAATTGTTCTCTTTTCACGGAAATTTCGAAAACGTTCAAGAGGGCAATTATATCTCCGTCAATGAAATACGAAAAGAATCTACGACTATGAAAAGCAATTCAGTTTTTCCATAACGATGCAAGGCTGTATGAAAAAAACGAAGTATCTTCATGGGAATCGGGAAAACGATTTTTCGTGCAACGAAACAACATGAGATGTATATACCAGTTACCGAAGGGGCGGGAAGCTATAAACTCGACAAAGTACAAAACGCTGACTCAATCTTCGTGCAGGAAACTCACGTTTCCCTATTCTATAAAAGGAACACTCTCGAGAGCATTAGTTCAATCGTATTCCGCCACTGTGGGATTTGAATTACGTAGCCCACATGAGTGCCGATTATGGATTTCTCGCGAAGATGTCTAAGAAATAACACAAAAATCACAGGCAGACTTCTTTTGAATTTTCGCAAATCGTTTCTATAAAAAATTCCATTGCAGCATCACTTTTTCCATGTTATGTTACGGAGTTAATAAACACTTATATGTGTGAGTTAATTTTCAAATTAATGGTCGAACTTTAACAAACAGATTTAATTAGAAAAATACCAAATACACACTTCCTACAATTATACAATTATTTTCCAACTTAGGATTAAGTAACTTCTTTGGCGACCGTTACATTTTCTCTATTTTTTTAAATACATTGCTGCAATGAAATCTCGCAGGCGGGTTATTGCGATAACTTCGGAAATCTCTAGGTATTCTTTTGTACGCTACTACGTACCTTCGACGAAGAGGAAATATCCTTCGGGATTTTTCGCCAAGACGCGGAGCGCCTTTATCGTCATTTCGGCCAGCGATGGGTCTCCACTTCCGTTCGTGTTTCGGTCGACGTCGAAGTCCATGTGGGAATAAGAAAATAGTCCTGAAATGATCGAACACCATGAAACAGTGATTCACTCGGCTCTCAAAAGTTTATATCTACTTTTATCAATGTGTTTCTCCTAGCGATGCAATTCACGAATATTTATTTTTCAAAACGTCATATGAATGTTATTTAATTATTACTGAATCTAAAAGAATTTTGAATTTTTATACTATTTCTAGAATATTGATATAACGTTTCATAGAATCAACAAATGGATGACATATAGCGTTCCTTATTAGCTAATTTCAAAGCGAGTCACTAGTGCTGAGTGACAGGCCAAGTGTAATTACAAATTCAAACGTTATGCCGATCATAATTAGGGCAGACTAACTGAAAGCTAACTGCATTCATGGATTAATGCAATCGCACACGATCAATATTCTCTGAAGGTACAATGCACAATCTGTATTGTTCGATCAACATTTTACTCCCAAACGTGCCCCATTCTTTTCACCGACATAAATTATTACTTTTATTAATATGCTTTTTCAACAAAACTTTGAATAACCAGATTTAATAGATTTTCACAGTACAGTGCATTCTATTTTCATTCTATTGTATCGTGTAATATCGATTAGATTTAAAAAAATAATTAAATGTAAAAGTTGAAATATTGCAACTATAGAAGAATGCTTCCAACGAAGCATTTAGTTTCAAAGAAAATTTTTATTCGTTCTAAAAGGTAACAGTTCATTTGGACCATTGTATAAATTGTCCCTGATCAGATTCACAGCTGTGCTTCGCCTTTTCCTTTGAATACTGAAAATTGTAGAGACGTGTAATTGATCGTTACCTAGCAGATGGTTCACTTTCCGCGGATCAACGCTCTCGAACTGTTCCTTGTTAGCGACATATTTTGCGGCCGAGTTTCGCAACCGATGGTTCCTCGACCACTCTTCAATTAGGTTTCTTCCGTCTAGTCGTCTGCCCTCTTTGTCCGGTTCCTCCGGATCCTGAGTTACTTTCGGTACGAAGTGACGTCTCCCACCGCCCAACACCACCTGCGATCGATCGTATCTTTATTATCACGTATTTTAGACAGAGACAGATGAAATCAAATTTCGAGATTATAAACTTTGACATTTGTCTGGAATGTCAATCGCATCTACGGTTAACTTTACAAAACGTTGACGAAAGTAGATTCTCTTCAAAATAATACACGATTTCTTATGCTTAAAATGCGGATTTTATATATTTATAGAATTATGCACAAAGAATATGAAG